CCGGTAGGGCTGGCCGTCGCGGCAAGGACGCCAGTGGCACGGTCATCATGATGGTGGACGAGACGCTGAACGCGGAAACCGCACGCCAGATACTTTTGGGCGAACCGGCGCCCCTTAACTCGGCATTCCACATCACCTACAACATGCTGCTCAACCTACTTCGTGTAGAGGAGATCAACCCGGAATACCTCATGGAACGCAGTTTCTGCCAGTTTCAGAACTACGCTAGCCTGCCCGAGTTGGACAAGGGTAAGCCTGGCATGGCGTTAATACATTCTCATTCTGTCCTTTAAACTAACAGCATCGGAGTTTCAGTCATATTTTATAATGCCTGTGTTGTTAGCGAGCTACTTGTCTGCGTTTCTTTTTTGCAACGACCGCATTTCTATCTCATTTTATTTGGCAAGGGTAATAGGTAATGCTTTTTAAAATCCTATTGCTTGCATTCCGGTCTGTCCGCACTCTTAAACATTTCTTCTATTAAGAGTATTCACAAAATTAAAGTAGTATTGCCTTTGTAGATGACTCCTGCCTGTAGTTGATGTGGTACTAGTTCTGTATCCGATTGTTTGGGGAAAATAGCAGACACATGTAATTAACTGTAGGAGCCTTACCTCCACAAATGATTACGGGAAATAATTCATTTGTTCTACTACCCGTTGCGTGAAGAATTAAAAGTGGAGATTTAGTTCGGACCATCTCGTGCACAGCTTCATTACGTGTCTACGAAGATGAGGCGAGAGGTGCAACTAACACCTGTCCTCAAAGCGCACCTCATGCTCAAGGCCACATATTATCTTGTAAACAAACAGAAGGCCACCTTTTTGCTGTCTGTAACACAGCGGAAATAGATTTAGGGCTTTCAGTAGTAGTGGCTCTGAGTGCGGCTTTATTCTACTGGCGTACTTATGACCCACTGTGAACCCTGATACAATGTCTTATACTAAAAGTGATGAGTTTTTATTTTCTGTGGACTTAAAGCTGCTGAACCATCTGAAAGTTATGGTAGCAGTACTGCAACTGATCTTATGCTCTTTAAACGTGTCATCTTGTTTCGTCAGAGCTTAGCATAGGTCTGCCTTCTGTTCGATCTTGTCTACGCTGGTTGAGGAACCACAACAGAGACAAACGCGAGTGCCAAGTCATCCACCGCGTTGGACTTCATTTAAAAGTAATTTAACTCCGTCTGACTTCTGGAACGGAGAAAGTCGGAAAAGTAATTGTCTAGACCACTGGTAGAACAGATTAATTTTCAAAACCTCTTTCATGGAGAAACTCTTGAAGATTGTAATTATTGTAGACGCAGAACTTTCGGAACACAACCATAGTGCACAAACTGACTTATACTCTCTGTCTAAGGTGTTTAAATTTCTATCGGCAGTCTGATTATACATGTAATGGAACAATAAGTTGTCGCGGTCAAGTATGAGCGACCTACTGCAACTTCGTCCGTACAGTGGTCTACACGCTTGTAAGAGTAATTGTTTGGATGTTTGGGGCGTTATTGGTGCAGTCAAAAGGGTTAGTCTAGGGACATAACTAGCGGGGCCCGGTCGATGCGCGTAAAATAGTGTTGCCTATAAGCGCGACCACGACTAAGTTCAGGTCAAATCTGGGGGGCTACCGTGGCTCTCGAGGTGCGCCTACTGGTTAGAAAACTTGTCGCGGCTACCGCGACCCTGGCAGAGGGGGCAGTTGAGCGGCTGCTACAAAGTAACGGGATTGATCTGTAAAATACCTTTGTGTAGGAGTTCAACAGCCTCATTTACCTTAAATCTATCGTCTTACCCTCTCATTTTTGTATCAAAACACAGACGTGGCTTGTCTCCTATAGCATTTTTTTTGCTTCGCTGATGTTCCTTGGGACCGTTTTTCTTTTTTTTCTTTCCCCCAGAGCTTAATGAATTACAGGAGGCGTATAACTCCACGAAGTTGGAGGATGAGGAGTCCATTGAATCCTATCAACAGATTCGAATGTGTCTCCATGATGTCCTCGAACACCAATGGAAGTACGTCCGACGGCCCGAGTACATTGTTCCCTTTCTCCAACCCGGTCGTCTAATAAAGGTGAGCCACACCCCCTCCCCTCCATTCCACTTTACATAGGTCTAAAATAGTAAAATTATGCAGCGCTGACTGACTAGCTAATAGGACATTCCGTACAAGGACGTCCCCTACTAGCAGCTGTGCCGTTCTTGGATCCATCACGACACGCTAAATATCCTGACCAAGACCTCATCCAGCTGACGGAATAACTTACTCCTTCTAGAGACTCATCCGTGTGGCCTTTACGGCACTGTCACTGACGTCATACCCGAACAGCCCTCGGGAAAGCTCGATACACACAGTAGCTTGCTTACCTCATTAAATGTCAATATCGACAGTTGACGGGGCTGTTTAACCCACATTTGAGGTTATTATTTTTGTTCATTGAATTGATTGAAGGCGCAAAAAGCTGGTTACTAGAAAATATATCACTTCAGATCAGTGTATTGAAGGAAAAAAGTGGGTTGAATGAAACGTTTCTGGATATCCAAGGCATTTTTTACGCTGTTATGCACGACTAATCAAAAGCTCTTGTTTACGCGTGTTGTACTATAAAAGAGCATTAATATAAGCCAGAACTGTTTTCAACTGTTTCTTTTCAAAGAACAGAAAATGTCGTTTGTGTTCATAAAAGTCGGACAAATGCTAGTATGAGAAATCGCATTGTGTTCGGGAGAGGAAGAGTGCATTAAGTTAAAAAAAACTTGTGTTTTGCAAATCTGCTACGTTTTGTATCACAAAACACAGCAACAAACTTGGTCGGCTGTAGTTTGCTTTACCCCGCCGATAATATGGACCGTAAACAAACATATTTATGAGCACCAGCGACGTGCCGTCTATTTTGTCTGCCGCGCCGTACAAAAAAGATGACCAAGTAAGTTCTATCTACAGTTGACTATAAACGAATACGGAAACTTGAAGCAGAACTGACGGAAGATTATCAGTTTGCTTTAAATCTCAGTATATATTCTCCCCCTCTGTTGCACATTTGGTATCTTCGAACGAAGCCTAAAAGTTAACAAATATAACGAAATCTGCTTCTATGGGCTGTTTAGCATTGTTAACCATTGTGCCTCCGGCCGTCTTGACTTTGTCTTGTCATGGGGGCGTAAGGTGGTTGGGAATGTGAGAGGCTGTAATAGCTGCCGCGTAACTCGAACTGCTATCTAGCGTCACGTTCGAACTCTGTTGACTTCTCTTGCACGTCACCCCTTGCCCCCGCCCTGTAGGTAGAGACAGAACGGGAGGACTACGGCTGGGGCGTCGTGATAAATCTGAAAAAGCGCCACCGAACAGATCGCTCCTCCGCGCCGGAGACCTTCTACCTCATCGACTGCCTGCTCGCTGATCGCC